AATCCGTTCAGCCACTGTAGCTATATCAATATCTAAAGTGAAGAATTTTGCCCAGAAGTATGGGCATATGTTTCAAGGAGTGTAACATCAGTAGACTATAAGCTTGGGTGGATAATTTCAACATATTGACCCAGGGAAATGTACATTGAACATATGACCCAAGGGAAAACATTGTTGATAAGTCTCCTTAAGGAGCCATATTTAGAGGATACTGAGCTGGGAAACATCGCACCTGAGAACATAAACACACTTTTATCTGGCTGCGAAGTGCTGCTCTGTGTTCACCAGCTAGTTGCTAACTTTGTCTGTTTGTCATTTGGTGCTGGACAGGTATTATTCAGTGTTTTTTAGAGCTATTCCACTAAAAAATTACCTGTCTGTCCCTGCCGAAAACAACACTATGAGAGTGGTGAGGGATTAGCCTAGCTTAGTATGAAGACTGGAAGTGTAGGGAAACAGCTAGCTTGGCTCTGTAGCCTATAGCTAACCAATTAACACACTAAATGTCATTTCAAGATGACACAAAGACAATGTTAAAACATTATTTGAAATTTAAGGAGAGTTGTGTGCTGTACCTACTTCCTGGCAAACACGGGTGTTCATTAGTTAGCTTTAGAAATGTTGATAAGTGTATTTCTGGAAAGAGACATGATGCTAACTGTCCAGTCTTTATGCTAGCTAAGCTAAACTAAACTAAGCTAAGCTAAGCTAAGCTCAGCTAATCACCTCTTGACTCCAGTATCAATCTTTTCATCTACCTCAGCATGAACATATTTGCAAAAATGTCATACTATTTAATTAGAAAAGTTCAGTTACTGTGACATGGTGTGAGAAATCCATAATTTTGTCCCTTTAGTGTTCATTATCTAGAACAATTTTTGAGGAATATGTTAAAATAGAAATAGCAGAGCACTGCCTGATGGATTTGCTGTTTTGTCTATCTCACAGCTTGATGTCCTGTTTTGAAGATTTGATGCCCTAAATAGCTGCTGTGCAGGCTTTGATGCTGTATTGAATTATATTTTGAGCCAGTGCCTCAAAAATAATGACTAGTGCCTCTGTCAACAAAAAGCACAGTCTCCAACACACGCTGAGTTATTTGGCTGAAAAAGCAACTATAAGGTCGAGGGTCTCTTTCAGCTGATTTTCTGATTCATTATTCAGTGGAATTAGCGGCATATTTCCGACCCATATGGAGTGGCAGAAGGGTAAAAATTCAAAAAACACCATAGTCACATCTGATCATTCGACAGTGCTAAAATAACTGAGCAACATAACAGCGTTCTTATTATGAACAGAAGTCATTTTTCTGGCTGAGAGTGTCCTAACGCCCAGCCTGCAGTAATGAATCATAGGACACCCTAATCCCTTGGAAGTGGGACAATACAGTCATTCCCAATCAGAGGCTACCAGCAGCATGTGCTGTGGCCCACCTCCAGTCAGACTGTTCCACTGTGCACCTGGTCTGTTAAGAAGGCTTTTCAAAGTGCTCGGCACAGATGGACATTAGGCTTGCATGTCTGTGGCTTTGGGTGTTTGATTTTGAGAGAAGTGCTGACCTTCGTCTAGACAATTGTGTGAGGTCCCTCTAATAACACAATAAATCATCCTATTAGTCAGCTGACAACCCTATTGAGGGTGTCACTCCGCGCAAGCCCAGATTAAGTCATCTGTCACAGTCAGTTGTTTTGAGATCTACTTTCAGGTAGAACATTAGAAACAGTGGCCTGCTGGGCTACTTACTGGCGTCATCCATGACATCCAGGTCATTAGCCAACTCAGCGCTGGTCAGGTGGTACTGCTCAGGATCACTGAGGGCTGTGAGCAGGATGAGTAACACCACGGCATTGATGAGCTTAGGGACAGAGAACATATGGGTAGATAAAGGCAACAATATGGGCAGACAGGTGGGGGGCAATATGGGCAGGTGAAAGTAGAACATTGCAAAAGGGCAGATGCTGAATATAGATTTCAAAATGGTCATGAGCTGCAGAGCAACAAACCCCAAATAATTACAGCTCATCCTCGATATAGTGTAGCTATGTTAAATTACATATCTACAGTAAAAGCTCTAAGTTCAGGCACATACATGAGCTTTGTATTGGTCTGTCGGGCACAGCTAATTATGCATATGACTCATACATCCCCATTGATCAGGTGAATGTCATGGAAAATTCTCTGCAGTCAATAGGCAGCCTGACACAAAACCTGCTACCTGAAGAGGCCAAGTGCTAATTTATTCATAGGGAGCAGAGAGAGGATTTTTCCACATGTGGTGTTTGGTTCAGTCAACCCTCCCCTGCACAACAGAGGCATGTGTTCAAGAGAAGAAATCTTACAATGACAGCTAAATAGCACAGAAAAGAGGGTACTTATATTTCCATACTTTCATTCAGTAAAATAATTCTGAGTTATTTCTTATCTAAAACATTCACGGTCTTTAATATGATCATGTCTAGTATCAATGATGTAGAGGAGAATAACCATTAATAATTGAATGGCACATTCAATAACACAAACAGAGGGTTCATGTATTTTCATGTTTTGATTAAGTTTGTTCACATCAGAAAGGTTTCCAATATCATTTACAGTCATGTATAGAATCAGTGACGTAGAGGAGGATAAAGGCACCAAAACCTGAGTGACTATTGCCCATTTTTACACAGAACACTCCCTCTACAAAAATACATTATTAATTTAGAGTATAACAAAATAACACACTTTAAGGTTTGCTGTGATGTTTTTTAAAGAGGAGAATAATTCAATCTTTTTCTTAAATTAAGTGAGAATATGGGTTTTATTAATAATGGAATACACTCTAAAACCCAGCAGTATCATGAAAATAAGCACACAGTATGAATGGTTTGTGACGAGGTCATGTTTTCCCTGATGGTTTGTTTCTGGATGTCTACATGGAGGCAGTGAGTGACAGGCGATAGGCGGTGCTCACCATGTACCAGACCCCCAGGATGATGGTTCCTGTGCGGACATGGCAGCACAGACAGCAGCTTGTGGAGTACCAGCGGTCCCACGGGGAGATCATCATCTTCTCTGCTTGTCTGATCACAGCTGCGCGAGCATTTAAAAACGATATCGGTGTTAGTTCAAGATAAAAACAGCCCCGCGGTCCTGTCAGCGTCTGCGAACAGTCGGTCCTCCGTAGAGACTGACGTGCTGGATCCTTCTGCCTCTGACCTGTCCGTTACTTATTATTACCGTGAGCAGATTAACGGAGCGGAGCGCAGAGTGTCAAGCCAGCGTCAGGGGAAATACGACTTCCGGTTTCAAAATAAATCACAGACAATTAATTTGTGTTGACAGCTTTAGTATGGTGTATGACAACATTTCAAGGGTAAAGTTTTAGGCGAATTTACCTTTCATTCTTGTCAGTATTATTTATCCCTTTAACGTCCACACTAAATTAATTTGCATTTTTTTAATTGAGTCAATAAAAACGTTTATCATTAATAAATAATAATGTTTATTTTAATAGTTTTTTATTGTTTGTTTTTACTAGACCCCATAGTTTTTCAAATATAGGCCTCTACCAACTGGTTAAGAGGTCACGTCACGGTCATTTTAAGACAGAAAGTAAAGAAAACATTACAAACTATGTACTGTACATAAATCTATTTGTTACCATGATACTGGTAGCATTACCAGTAGTTATTATTTCCACATATTTATTCTACATGTTTACCATCAAAGCATTCTGAAAACACCCCAGAAATGGCGAGAATTAATACTGATATTTCTTTTATCAAATATATAATGAAATAACAATAAATATATTGTATTAAGAACAGTGAACCTTCATTTTTTTCCCCATAAAAAAAACTGTAAATGTATTAGCATGTTTTAAAAAATTATTAGACCATTATAAGACTTTTATTTTTTGTATTATGTTAAATCTGTTCAGTAAGACCACTGAAACTATATAACTAATATTTTGTGACAGGGCAGTATCAGTGTCCCAATAAACTGAGTTTCTTAATTTTTTTTCGACAATTCTAAGCATTGAAGAATATTGTTGTCATGAAAACAAAGCAAAAAAATCCTTTTCAAACCAAGTGCATGTCAGTCAGCATAAATGATTTAATAAGTGAGTGATAAGTGATAGTCCGAAGGCACCATATTTACACTGACCTACAGAGCTGTATACAGTGAAAAGTCTAAAAGTTTGACACTACGCTATTATTTTGAAGATGAATCCCCCTACTTCTGGTCTTATTCTGGTGAACTTGACACAGCTGAGTAAAGGCGCAGTTAGTGGACCTGCGGGTGATAAACACCGGAGCGTGTGACAGACTGGATAGGATCAAATCCGATGATGTAACCCGTCATTTCCAGAAAGTTATAGAGGAGAAGCTTAACTTAAAATACTTAAATCTAGAAATGACATGTTGTGTGTTATACCACAATGTAGCATTGTTTCCTCCCTGAGGAAACACTCCACTGCCCAAAATGCCCACTGCTGAGGGCATTTTGCATCTCCCCCAGCATTCCCAATCTTTTAGTCCAAATATTAAGCACTTTTCCTGTCAGGTTTCCTACACAACTCTCGTGTTGTAGGCCGAGTATTTACTTTGTAAAGGTTAGCCTGCAGGCCTGAGGCTTCATCATGACAGCTCACGAGGATGCTGTTTCATTAATCATTACATGGTGGGTTACTGACCTAAACTATAATTAGTATTTGTGTTAAATTTTGCCAAAATAAGCATATATTATTGAGCTATGGCCAAAAAAACCCATGTTTTTTAAGGTCTCATTGACCTTGACCTTTGACCACCAAAATCTAATGAAGTCACCCTTGAGTCCAAGTGAACGTTTGTACCAAATCTGAGGAAATCCCTGTAAGGTGTTCCTGAGATACTGCATTCACAAGTATGGGGCGAAGGTACGTATGCAAAAGGACGTACGGACAGCCCAAAAACACGATGCCCCTGGCCACAGCTAATGCCAGTGCAGAGGCCTAAAAACTGCAATATAGAGAAGCCCAAATATAGAAAAACTGGCCTTTATTTAGTCTTTTTACATATGGCTTTAGCTTTTCTTTTATTAGAAACAGGTTTTACAAAAGGTTCTGAAGACTTTCGAATCAACCACAGGTGGAAAATCATGAAGAAGCTCCTGACACTGCAATGGTACATCTATGATCAGAGGCTCCCAGACGGCTCTGGCCACAAAGCAGTCACAGATAGTAAAAACAGCAAGGAAACAGTTGTCTCGAAACACCGCAGTACAACATCAGACAAGGGACAAACCGGATGGATTGAGTCAACTGAAATGTTGTAGTCACAGATAAGAATGCAAAAATAAAGAGCAGACATGATTCCCTTTTCTGCACCTCAAGATGCTCATGTCTTGTTTATGTCACAAATGTTTACACCCTATTGAGCCATTGTCGTGAATTGAACTTTTGATCTCTCCGCTCTTTTTTGACCAGCAGCGCTAACTGTACCATCGTGACTTACAAATGTAAGAGCAAAATAAAAGACTGCAGAAGCAAAGGCCAGTGTAACAATATGGCCCAGTGTTGAGAGACCTGAAGCATGTTGACCGTTTTCATTCTCTACACAGTAAACTCCAGTCGTTAGCCACCACAACATCAAGTTTCTAAACATGATCAGTATTTTCTATGTCTAATTACTACAATACAGCTCTTTCAATCAGTTATTTGATTCAGTGGAATTAGAAGAGAGTCAAGAGTATCAAATGCATACTTAAAAATCATTAACACCGCATTACATTAGATTGCACTGCATCTAGGTTCAGTTTTCAACAATCCATTGACTGACGCTCGACGTGTATAAAAGTTGTTTCATTTTCCAGACTGGTTTGAAGGTTTAAGTCCATCGTGGAGACCTTAGTTCAAAGTTCTTGTCACAAAAGGTGTTGCATAAACAGGATATGAAGTCTTTTGCATACAGAGGTCTGCAGAGGGGACTCGGTCTCATGTCTCTCTCCTCGCCTTCTTCTTCTTCGCAGGCTTGGGCGCTTGGCTCTCCTCAGGTTTTTCTGCAGAAACAAAAAGGGAAAGGGAGATGAGTCACACAAATCTCAACTTGTGATTCACATGGTTTTAGACATTCCCAAGATTTCACAAATGTTGAAGAGGCAGTTTTGAGTCACGTATCCATTTGGTTCACTACTGAGAAAATATTTGCCTTCTGTTCTTACCATCATATCTCAAAAGGGTCAATCTAATATGATGACTCACTGAGTGATGCTCAGAAATCAGTGATACAAAGAAAGAATTATTGAACATGGCCATTTAGGAACATCATGGCAATATGAGCCATGACTGATAAAGAGAGATCCATGTTTTTAAAAATAAAAAACAGAAACTTAATTAGGGTCTGAACTGAAAATGAAAGCTGGTGGGAGCTGGGAAGGGCATTTAATTATGACTGACCTGACATCTGATAGTAATATTTCTCAAGCCTCAGTCACTTCCTCTACTTCAATAAATCACAAACCAACACAACCTGTCTGCCTGAGATCTCTAGCAACAAGGAGGGGGTCCCCATTATAATCTCTTACTAAGGTTTAAATGTGCTTACTTTGTTGTGTTGGAGCAGACGGGTTGTTCTGCTTGGCAGTGGGCTCTCCATCAGTTGGCTTCTGTGGCACTTGTGTGACAGGGGGTTTCTGGGATATGTTGTCCTTCACTGGTTGCTCCACTCTCGCCTGTAAGAAAGGGAAACATGGTTGGTCTTGATCGGCAAGAGAATGAATGAAGCCGTTAAAATCCATAATCCCAGTGCACTTACAAAATACTGCACATGATAAATTTACATGTACATGAATAATCTTGAAAGTAATTTGACTGATGACCAGTTTTAGATACACAATTTCCAGTATTCACACCCCTTGGACTTTTTAACGTTAACTATGACAGAACAAGAACATTTCTGCAGAAAAATGTAGTTTAGATGATCTGCTCTGGTGTCAGATATTATCACCACTGACCTCGACAGCAGCTGCTTTGACAGGCTGGACGGCAGCAGTGTTCTCCTGAACAGGTGGCTGCTTCTTTACGGCTGCAGGTGCCACCTCCTTCTCTGGCTCCTCACCCTTTGGAGGACACAAGGACACAAGCCAAGTTGACATCAAACTGTGCAGTGAATTCAAAGTAAACTTTAGAAATGTCAAAGACTGATCGCGAGGGGCAAGATAATAAACAAGCCTCCTGAATGTCAAACAGAAAAAACATCTTACAGAAAAATTTAAAGATGATTAGTCATACTACATTCAGGCTTTCTTGTTATTTTTACAATTGCTTAAGTCACATCTATGTTTGCACTCTGTGTGTGTGTGTGTGTGTGTGTGTGCATGTATTCTCACTAGCAGTTACCTGGCCAGCCGCTCCTCCCTCATCAGCAGCCTTCTTCTTCTTCTTTTTCTTCTTCTTAGTTTTAGCTGCTCCATCAGCAGCACTCTCTCCCTTATCCTTCTCATCTTCATCATCATCCTGACAAACACACATGGACAAAACATAACTAAGATAAAAAAAAAAAAACAACAGCATACACATAAGCACCACCTCCGTGGTAAAGTCTATTTTATATTACTCTATTTAAATAATTTATAATGTGTGTCTTCATATCTAGTGCATGTAGTGCAGGATTTGAAAACATTTTACTCTGGTGCCATCTGGTGGTAGTACAAAGAACAGCACTGACAAAAAGAAATGCATCCTCTCAGTCCTGAGAGGTGGTATAATCCATCACAACTAAAGGACACACCGGTGTGGGAGTCCTGTGGGTGTGCAGGGGTTGCAATGTTCTTTAACTAAAGAACAAAAACACGACAAAGGCTGCGTGTGTACCCAGTCTATTGTGTTGAGTCACTACTATGATCAGCAGAGACACAGTCAGAGGGAAGAACCAGGACAGCTGCCTTGGGGCCTGCACCCAGAGGAGTCATTAATTACTGGGTTGTTATTTTTAAAACTTCCAGGTTAGTCCCATAATGCTGAGGCCACATTCACACTAATAAGTTTTCATTAAAACAGCATTTCAAAATGAAAATGATTCTTGTACACGTGTTTTTGCACCATTTCAGAAATATTCTCCTTCCATTCTAACGCCTGAAAACGCATATCACATGACCATCCGTGTTCACTGGCCATGTCGGTGTAAATGGGAAGCAGATAGTTTACTCTGCAATTGGTTGCTTAGCTACAGAAAATACTACGGAGATGGTAAAAAGTCAGACCACAGATTTATTTGTTTGGACTGACAACAAGGTGAAATTGTTACTAAAAGTAACACAGGAGTGTAAGGAGGCCAAGGCAGTGGAAAATATATTGAGAGTCGCTGCAATTCAAACATGGAGATATATTTGACTGGTATCTGGAGCACTGTCTATCAACAGAGGAAGCCATAACAACTGGAAAGGAATACCCAAACAAAAAGGATGAAATCACAAAAGGTATGTAGGCCTTGTGACTGATAAGACAGTTTAGGAGACTGATAAGGAGTTTCCAAACTAAAACAAGGTCAGCAGCATTTTCAAAGGTCTCTGTTTTAGGGGTTTGAAATGCAGTCCAGTAGTGTGGATGCTAGGCACATAAGTAACGATAGTTGTGCTTTTTAAAATGAAAACATATTAGTGTGTACGTAGCCTTAGTTTTGTCCCATGTCTGGGCACACTTACAGCTGCTCCAATCAGCAGATTAACCTTGGCGGGCTCAGGGAGGGGCTGCTCCAGGGCAGGAGGGGGCTCAGGTGTGGGCTCTTCATAGTTGCCCCAGGCTACAGCAGGGGCGTCCCAGTCAGAGGCGGGGTCAGCAGAACTACCATCTAAGAAACACAAAGATTGTCAGAAAACAGAAGTGTAAAAGGAGTATCACAACATACAGAAGCTAAATATATTATCCTTACTGAGTCCAGACCACTCGTCGTCCACTCTGGGCTTATTGAGCCAGGTCAGATTGCTCACAGGCTGGGGATCTACACAGAACACAAGAACAATAACTCAATCTGCCATTCACAAAGGATGCTTTGGGAAACAGTGCCATCTAGTGGTGTGAGCCAGGTTAAACCACCACATGTTGCATCACCAATGTATTGTATACTTACCAGCAGTACCAACACCCAGTCCGCCTAAAGACACCAGATTTCTCTCTGTTGGTGGCATCCCCCTTTCAATCACAGTCCACGACTCTAAAACATACACATTACACAGACGCTATGATGTCACTGTCCAACACAATTAACTTATTAAACAGTGGATGAGTGTGTTGATGAGAACTGCTTAAGTTTTGTTTTGATTGAAATAACTGTTCCCTGACACTGTGCAGACCTGTCAAGCATTTCTGTGGCACCAAATAAGAACCAAGAGTTTTGAGTCAAGCTTGGCGTTGTCTTACACATAAACAATTGATCCCAGTCACCCAGACATACAGTGAGGTATTAAGCTTATTAATTAAACACTGGTATTGGATTGGTATTCGATATCAGCTGATTCCCAAAGCTTAGGTATCAATATCAGGCCTGAAAAAGTCAGATCGGTGCATCCCTAGTAATCAGATTGCTGTCTCAACTGTTGTTTCTATGGTCTTTGAACCTCAGATACGTTTTAATTATATTGTTTTACAAGTTTTATTACAACAGTAACTAAGAAACAGACTTTTATGTGGATCGGTCACATCTGCTGATACTTGATCCATTTATTGAGGCTGATATTAACTACATTTATATCTGCTGACACAGCAGCTGATATAGAGGTTCAAGCAGTCACTGCTTCATGGAATGTCATAAAGCTTTTACACTAACACACAAAGGGTTCAGCAACTAAGTAGTTTAAGTGGTAAAACATTTTTACCATCAATTTCCCCTCTCCACAGTGATGCTGGTTCTCTACTGGTTGTCCAGGGGCCTGTCTTCGGAGCAGCAGTGGGAGCAGGAACCTTTACAGCTATGTCAGTCACAGCAGCAGCCGCCACCGCTACCGCCTCACTGCTGTTAACTAATGCCAAGAGAGAAACTTGATCATCAGCGAAATAAACACAGATCAGGTTGACAACACATCTGATATGGGAATTCCCACTGAAGCATGTGAACTTTTGTTGATCAAAGATTTTACATAAATGTGATATCAGTGCTGGCGGTGTCTTCTGAACTGAAGTGGGTGAAGCTTTTGTCTGAACTGATAATTACCTTGAGATACAACAGTCTCAACCTTCTCTGCCTTAACTTTTGTGGATTCTCCTGAAAAGTATTAAAAAAGGTCATTAAATGTTAAGTTAAGTATCCATGGGAGCCTATTAGTGAGTGGAGCGCACACACAAACACTTCAGCTGAAACACTTTAGGGAAAACTCACTCTGGGAGTCAGCTAAATTCCCCTAATGCCTGTATTTATAGTGGATACTGTCAACAAGAGACCAACCAAACTAAACAACAGAAACATTACTCGCTAGGTGCCATATAATACTGTTTATCCAAGATGGCCTGGACAATTTGTGCTTTGCCTGAAAGTATACAAGTAAAAAAACAAAACAATCTTGCAAGCTCCTTCCCCCTTCCTAATTTGAAAATTCTCAAAAGAAGTAAATCACAGCCTAATTTAAACATATATATGGCTTTTAGAGTTCTGTCTGTTAAGAGCCACCTTTTTTCTTCTTCTGGCCGGTAGATGTGGGGGCTGCAGGGGCCTTGGGCTGCTCTGGGGGAGCGCTCACAGGTGTGTCCCCTCCTCCAGGACTGGCTGAGCCATCACTGGAACTCTTGTCCTTCTTGCGTTGTTCACGCTTCTCCTTGTTGCTGACCTTGGTCTCCCATGTGCCTGACAAAGACCATTATTTGCAGCATGGAATTAGTTGCAAAATACTGAGAGGTTTCATTATGGGATTAGTGAGGAAATATGGTATGGATTAGGCAGGGCAGGATAAAAGATTAGATGCAAAGACTACTCAAATGCACACTAAATGTATTTTGCTGGGGAAAAAATTCTAAGGCAGGTCCTATTCTACAACAATATGCCTGGTATGAATCAAGTTTTTCTTAACCAAGGCCACATTCAAATTCATTTAAAAACGTACAGAAGTTAGTCATTCTCTATGTGATGATCTGGTTACTGAAAACTGTAGCTTACTATAAACAAAAATGAACAGAAACAGGTCTACTCAAATAAGTGATTTTATACCCAGACATCACTTTGAATAAAAATCCTAATTACAATGTAATTCATAATATTTCACCTTCTTCTGGTTCTTTGCCATCTGCAGTCACTGTCTTGGTCTCCTTTACAGACTGTTTGGCCTTCTTCTTGGACTTCTTCAACTAGGACAAACAAAATAGTGGGCATAAAGTAGCAAAGAAAGACAAAATGACATATGGGGTTATGAGACTGGGAGCTACAGTGGAGTTTCTATTAACACAAACGATTTAACCTCCAGGAACAGCAACTGGGCAGGCGGCCCCAGGCTGACCACGGGCAGTCAATCAAATCAGCACACTCAAGCCACATCTATTTATAAGTGAAACTACATCCACTGTCCGAGACTCCCTAAATATGTTACATGTCCTTTTTGTAAACACTATTTCCATCTCTTCGTGTGGGCACAGGTACATCTTCTGACTCCATCACCCTTAGGGCCACAATTTGTGTTACTTTGTGTTAACCAGAGGGTGGCATTAGATGAAAGGCTGCACCTTGTGCTGCCCTAAGCCAGGAGCCATCCTCCAGGATTTTGCTGCATCTGCAGGTTAAAAACTGTAACCTAACACTGGCAGCTGGTCTGGTTACATCATTGCAGGGTGACAGTGAGAAAAGGTGGCGTTTTCTCAACAGCTTCAGATTGAAGAGAACCCCCAAAATGATGGTGTAACTTACAAGCTATGGCAGCAAAGTGGAAACATTTATATAAACATAATCGGGGCACAGCCATCACACTGGACAAATCACGATGTTCAGGTGACATCACCACGTCGTTATGTGTGTGGCATATGTATTTTGTGAAGCAAATTACCTCTGCAGCCTTCTCAGCCTTGATTTCTGGTGGGGGCGGCTGGTGATGTGGCACTATCTCTTCCGACACTATGGCTTCTTCCTGTGGTTCAGCAACAGCTCTCCCATTTGGCTGGGCTTTCTGGAATACACATGTTAAGAAAAAATGTAGAGGGGCATGACAATTTTCAGCTATATTCCTTTCAAGCAATTAAATGTAACACTACCCAAGGCTAGCATAGCCAGGCGGGGACTAGCATGATGCTAGCTAGGGTTTTGGCCATGACATGAGATTCAACTGTCACTGTGGTGTTAGCTTGACAGCTAGCCTTGCTAACGACACCGCTATCAAGTTATGAAAGGGTGTAGACTGGTTTTCATCTTTTTGTTACGTGCCTTTTCTGCTTTCTTCTTCTTTTTCTTCGGTTCCTCGGATTTGACAGGTTTACTGACACCCCGCTTTACTTCAATGCCGTCGTCCACAGGGCTGACAGCGGGTCGTTTCTTGAAGAGAGCCCGGCAGGCTGAGGCCCACAGAGCGACCATCAGCACCAGCCCGGTACATGCCGCTAAGAGGATCACCCATGGCGGAATAAGCTCAGGCTTCAGTCCCAAATCCACGCCGAGTTCGGTGCGCAGTAGCCCAAGACCTTTGGACAACAGTTCATTCAGACGATTTGTAAGCAGTCTGACCTGCTGAGAGGCCGCGTCCTGCCACTGCTCCATTTGTATTGTTTTTCAAACAACAGACCGATTAGTCACGCTTTGCTTGCCGCTATTAGCTGCGCTAGCCTGCAGTGCTAGCTAAAAATAACGGAACGACTTCGACATGATGGAAGACAATAAATTCATCCCCTCCTCCGCCAGCAACATGGGCCCAGCCAGACCGCCAGCTAGCTAGCTAAATCTGGTTATGGCTGCGGTTAGAAACTGAGTTAGCTAACTAGCCAGCAAGCTAGCTAGCTGATAACATCGTAAGATAATATGCCTCCGTTAGCTGACCACCACAATGTGACCGCGAGTGAAGCAGGTTCACCTCATATGGCTCCGTTTTGACTGGAGGAGAAGCGTTGCCTTCGCTGTCGCTTGTAAAGTTGCGTTTCCAGGTTGAAGATCGCGACCGTGTATCCTAACAGAATATTGTCCAAAAAGCTAATTCAGATAGAAAAAAAATGTTTTAGTAGCTAACGCTATGTGGAAGAAAACATATTTAGAATGTATTTCAAGTAGCAATCTAGAAGAGATTATGTTTAAGATATATAATTGCTCAGTACTGTCATTTGCCAACATTTGTTGTATTATATTTGCTATAAGTGGCAGACAAAATGCCCTGGCCCTGTAAATAACAGCCTGGCCGGGTGTCATACATTCGGACTTTTCCGACCTAATTAACTAGATACACGAAATTCCATTATTCAAAAAGTCTTTGAAAGCAACACAAACGGGCCGTGACAGCTCTAATGAATTGGGCGGGGCTAGGATTTCTCCCATGCTGATTGGACTAAACCCTCAGTTCAAACTCATTCTCAGTCCCACCCTGGTCCTACCCTACCACATAAACCAGCCATTGTATTTTAGTTTTTTGTCAAATGCTTTGTCATGTAGTTACATATTTTCTGCCACACAAAAATAATGTGTTTTTGTTATTCTTTAATATTAGCAATACAAAGTTATTTGCTTAACACAAACCCTACGACTTCACTTAATCAGGACTTTTTTTTTTCCATTTTTGCATTATCTGTTCAAAGGAATACGAAAAAAGTTTTCTGTACAAATTCCATGTAACAGGGTGGGATACACAAATGATGATTTGTGTGGTGAAGTATTCCTTTAAATATCTCTATATGAGGTGAATCTAAAAACTGTCACAGCAAAGCAGCTTCTTCTAACACTAATGTAACACCTATTTCCTTCTACCCTTAATGTAGAGCACTGAGGAGAATAAATCCAGACCAAACAACTTATTTGCATCCAAGTTTATTTTGAAATTCCCTACTCCCCCTGTACAAGAAAAAAAGGACTTTCCACAAAGGCAGCAGTGAACTGTCAGTGATAGTACTTTTCTAGGGAAGGAAAAAACTTATAATCACAGTGTGTCTTCTTTTCTTCTTTTAAATACTTCTACTGCTGTCATCTTTGGCTGGGTTTTCGGCAGACAGCTTTCTGTCAAACCACATTCCTGCGAAGCAAAAGTTTAAGCCAATAGAGCAGGGCTGTGGGCTTTATGTTTACAGTGCCAATGCAGGAATGTTCTGGACTGTATACCTCTTCTTCATTAACACAAAAGAAAAAAAAAAAACAATAAAAATTGAAATAAAAATAACAAGCTGTTTGTGTTCACAACACAAACAAATATTACCGCCTGGGGAGATAGCGACAGTAAGTCGAATTTCATAAAATTGTATAGACAAAAAATAAATCTACAAAAATGGAGCTAGGTAAATATTACACAACAGTAAACATGTTTTTATTTTTTTCCTTTTTTTTTTAAACTCTTTTCTGTCGAACCTCTACACAAAACCAAAATTCTTGGTCTTAATGGCTAGCAGGAGTTTCTGTTTGAGTATCTGTTTTGAAGAATAGAGTGGCACGTAGAGACGTGAGATGCAGGTGTTGGCTGTGGGGAGGTGCTGGTCATCTGGAGGCCGGATGGTGATGGAGGGCATCGGCTGGAAGCCTTCCTCGCTGGCTGGCAGAGAAGGGCTGGAGGTCCAGAAGTACACCTGAGGACAGGGAAAATAATAAATCACATTTGCCTTTACCATCCATTTAATCTTACGAAAACCTTTGTAATGTTCAGGTGTTTGTGTCCCGGGATGAGTCAGACAAAGAGAGACTTTGAACAAATCACATTATTGAACACTTTCTTGCTGTTAGGTGTTCACTTGGGCCTGTCATGCACATCACTTAATGTCTGACAATTAAATTACAGTCTAAAGGCTTGTCTCTACGAGATGTCAGTCTGCCACTTGTGTTGTCCTTCAACTGAAACAGAAATGCATCATTTAAATAAACCTGTGGCTCCGTATAAGCCCATGTTTCTGCCCTGTCACATGCATGTCACTACATCTTCAGGAGGTTTTTGGATATTTAACTTGCACATGCATTAAAATAAGGTTGCAGCCCAGAGAAAGAGTTTCAGCTAATTTATTTAGCAGATGAAAAGGAGATAAATTAAACAGTGCTGCCATTTCACTGACCAACATCTAACCATCCCTGTATTGTTCTTTATTTTATCATTTAAAATGCACAGCTGCAACAGGTTCAAACGTTACACACTGTAGTGTGGCTCGTGTTAGGCAACTGTGCAATAATGTTGCCGGTGTAATATGTTCCTCAGCATTAGGGGCCAAATGGATAAAGTTATGTAAATGTGGATTGTTAATCTGAGCTGAATGTAAAGTACAACAATTACTAACAATGCTAAGCACTGAACTGCAGCAAGTCTCTTTGTTTTTAAAGGATAATTATGGTGAGAACAGACTTACCAGATCTTGCCTCTCAGTCATGCTCATCTTCTCCACTATGGACCAAAACCAGCGTTTAAACTGCAGCAGTTTGTCTGCATTTTCCCCTGTTGGATAAAGTACAAGTCTTAACTCACTGTGTTACAGCGAAAAATATACAATTGTATATCTTTCATTTCTGAAATAATGCATAAAACAGAGATAAGACAGGAAAATGGACAGAAGCAGATACAGAGCAGAGATGATCCAAACAGAGCAGCATACCAGACTCATCATTGAAGGAGGTGAAGCTAATGAGCATCTGGACGTTGACTTCTCCACAGCCGTTGACCAGCAGCCTGAAGTCCTCGGCTGTCAGGTCCTCCAGGGCGTTCTTAGGAAGCACATCCAGCAAACCCTTCCTCATTGCCTACCAAAGACAGATTCACATCATAATTGTGTCAAATGCATTTTAGTGACTGACAACATTTACCTGCGTTCGAACAAACTGATAGACTTTGAGATAAGATTGGATTAGACAATCCTTTATACAGCAGTAAAATTTGCAAAATACGGTTAAGTCAACACTGAACATCTGAGTATTCATATTCATTCTAGTTTCATATGCATATGAGTAAGTATACTTATAGATACCCTGAGGAACGGGGAGAAGTTTAGATCAGCAGGCGAAACTAAGCAGAAGCTCTGATTATTAACGTCTCTCTCGCTCTCTGTCTTTCACATGCACATACACAGGTGCACTCTCAGATTCAAAGGATGAAACCAAGTGCGTGACCAGTTCAAGACTGCAGCTGTTCACAGATGTTCAACGTGGAAAGTATGACGTCTTCTCACTAGGCTGAATGAGAGAGGTGCTTTGTGGTGCACTGGTGATCTGCCTTGACATGTGTGAGTATGAATTTGTGTGCACACTCTTGCATGAGAGAGTTACCATGTTGAGTTTGTGTTTTTGAATGGAATGAGTTGAGATGTTAAATACACAGTAAATAAATGTTAATTGCTAACTTTTATTAAGTGAGTTGGTGTCCTGTTTTGTGAATGTACAATGTTGATAATGCACGGTGCGAAGTGCCACACATTTCAGTGGCATTAAAAACACAATCTGTTGTTGAAAAATGTGATTAACAATTTAAAATGGCTCTGACAAAATACACAACTCATCTATGTTTAAACTTCCATTTAAAAGTCAGAAGTTGTCGGGAACATCTCTTCAGTATTCACAGCCAATTAAGAAGAAGTAACATTTTTGAAAATGTTTACTTACATGGAGAGGCTGCTCAGCTACCACCAGCATTCTGTGCTCAGCATACTTCCTCACGTACTCGTACACATTGAGGGGAGTTACTGGCATGTTGACCCCACCAGACAGAAGCTCCACCTGAAGCAGGAAGAATAAGGCCTCAACAAACACTTCATGGCACAAACATATTTCAATATTCAGATTTTGACATGTTTTTGGACCCCGGATCTAGTGTGGTCAATAAAAGTTACTGAAATAAAGCTAATTTTTCAGATTTTTTTTCTTCTGTTTTGACATTAGCACTGCATCTAAACATTAATTATCGTACTTAAGGGTGCACATTTTCAGTAAAACACCTTGTTGCATGCACCAGGTTTGTGCTATTTCAGTTTTATATTCTACTTTTGAAAAACTGAGCTTCTTACACGTACCTCTAACAACACACTCAAGTCATTGCACCCCTTCCTTGTTTTAATGCAGTGCTTATTTTAGTTTAAACAACTGGGTCTCAGTATGAATCTGTTACTGTTACCATCTATATTTGGTGGCACAATGACAGTGTAGTCCTTTACCTGTCCAGCCCCTTCCTCTTTGCAGAGGTCAATGGCAAAGGCAAGGTCCATGGCAGCAAAAACTGCATCTGCTTCACCAGCCTGAGAATGGCGGATCAGCTGCCGCAGGCTCTCATACATGACCGGGTCGAAGAATGCAAAGTCATGCCAGTTCACCTGCAGTAACAAAGCTTAGTCAATTCAGCGGCATCGTTCTGGAAAGCACCAACATCATGCAGCAGGGTCTTACTTCATGTGCAATAAATATATTGTGAGAACATATTTCCCTCTTACCTTCCTCCCAAGCAGCACTTTGATTACATGTCTGTTCAACGTGATTGGACACAGTTCGTTCTGCAGTAGACACAACCCCAGTATTCTGTAGAGCAAACACAACACTTAACTTAATGTTTCCTACTTTGTCAAGATGTGACTCATTTAGTTCTCCTTTGGAGATTTTGACAAAACCAACTGAATTATTTCTCTTCATATTTGACCAAACAAGAAGACAACTCATTACCTGCCAATGTTACGGAAGCAGTTCAGCCTGGCTTCTGTATTCTTGCCAGGCCGAGGGGAGTAGAAGCCCCTCTTGCCAGGCTGGTAAAAGAGAGGAGCATTGTCGTCCCCATCATCTGGGTCGTCCAGCTCCATGTCGACCACACTGCGGGTTGAACCGTGACGCTTACGGTTTTCTTGCTGCTGTAACCACACAAAACAGAGGAGGCTGTTTAGAGGGTATGCATTGTGCATTCATCTCATTTTATATTAATAG